TCCCTTTTAAAGGAAAACCATTTTTTTTCCCATTTAAAACATAAAAAAATTTAACTTTTTCCCCCAAAACAATTAAAATGAAAAACCATGGACAAAAAATCAGAAATAAACAGATAACTGAAATCTTTTATAAGATCTACGTTCCGTGATCACGTCGTCGTCACGTGGGCGATGTTGTGAATACTTATTCCTAAAATTTGAGTATTTTGAATGAAAATTAAAGAACTTTATTTTGATCTAAAACTCATATGTACGTTATATGTTATGTACGTTCTATATATGTAACTGATATGTACGTTATATGTGTGTGTGTATATGTGTACATATGTCTATTGTGTATATATGTTTGTGTATGTATATGTCTATATATATGTGTGTGTGTGTGTATACATACATATACAACTGGCAGCCAAAAATAAAATAAAATGTCAAAATGACAAGTTTAACAATTGGTATTAATTGAGAGTAGTTTTTCTTCAACATCGACAGTCGCACACACAACAATATGTATGTACGTATCTATCTATATTCTATGCACACAATTTGGCCTTTAGCTAAACATCAGTGGCACATGGTAACATTACGATGATAGCATTTTTAACTATTCATCAGTAATATAAATTAAAAGAAAATCATCATGATCGTCTTAATTGCTGTTTTATTTTATATAATTTACATTAAATGACCACTAACAATCGTTGAAAACATTGTTACATGTTATTCCCTCATTAAATGAGTAGTTGTATAAATTAAAAATTTGAAAAACTTTGTAAAGACTATTTGATCTGTTAATAATTATTTCGGATTTTTACTGTGAGTGTGATAGAATGTCTATTTTTGTCTCTTTCCTTATTAACACTGTCAAAAACTAAGATTCATTAGTCTTAAATTGCATTCACTTAATTTTAAGAACAATCCAATTAGAAAATATATATATATCTTGAGCAGTACTAAAAATTATTTTCAATACTTAAAAAAAAGGAATTTTCTCAATATTGAATTCATTTCTCCCTCATTCATACACTCTTCTCGTTTTCCCTTGCTTGTACATATAAAGATCTCATGAATATATTGATAAATATAAACAAAGAGTAAAAAAAAAAAAAACTGTGTAAGAAATTTAAATAAAAAAAGATTGACATAACTTAATCATCAGATGATTGTGACTGATATGCTAAAGAATTTTTAAATAAAATCAACTTAGACATAGAAACAATTAAAGTGCAGAAAAATAATTCTGTAGTTTCAGTACTTAAATTATTTAAGTTAAAAATTAATTAACAATCAAATAATTTGCTGCGGATTTATTTTTCAAAGTTGTAGGTTAAAATAAAAATTAGCAGAAATAAATTTTAATTAATTAGAAAAATGTATATTTAAGTTGAAAAACGAAGTTTTTACATCAATAAAATTGATGAAAGGGAATTTTATCAAATAAACATTTTAGGCCTAGATTTAAATGATTTTGAAATGAATGAATGAATGCAATATGAATGAATGAATGAATGAGAGCGGTAGTTTTACATGTGATGATGTCACCTTGCCACAAGAGCGGAGAGCCGGTTTTCTTTTCACCTGTGTAACTAGTCCCTGCTGTCGACCGGTTCACCGTAACTATCCGCCCCCAAAATAGTCTGGTCGTTGTCAATAATATTTCCCTGTATAGCGTCTGATTACAGCCAATTGCAAGTTACTGATGGCTATTTAAGGATGTAAATAAATTTCCGAGTATCTGTTTAATCGTTGTAAACGATATCGGGGTAAAACGACGTGGAGCTACTGAAGAGATTTGTTGTTCTGCTACTCGCAGTTGCCTTCCATATTGTTGTTGGTGGGTGATCGGAACGCAGCAGAGCATCGTTTCACGTTTTGGGCTCTTTTTGAATAAAATACCGGCGTGTTTAGTAAAAGGAATAATAAGTAGAAATGACGGATCAGAGTCTAAACAAAGAGGATTTTGTGATAAAGGCCAAGTTGGCCGAACAAATCGAGCGCTATGAAGATATGTCGGAGGTTATGAGGGAACTGACAAAGTCAGGCTGCGAACTCAACAACGAGGAGCGAAACCTGTTATCAATTGCTTACAAAAATGTCGTGGGGACGAGAAGATCTGCCTGGAGGGTTATATCCAGTCTTGAAACTAAGGCCGACGAAAGTGACAGCTACCGAGCGATGGTTAAATCCTACCGAGAAACAGTAGAAGAGGAATTAAGGAAAAATTGCAACGAAGTTCTGGTGAGTATTACTGAATATTGATAAAATTTTCATTTTTTTTTCTTTATAAGTCTGAGAAAAAAATTTACACCAAAAAACTTGGACAACCACCGCGGATTGTTGAAAACTAAAAGGCATTACTTACTAGTTTAGCAAGATTTTAGTTTCTCTCCTCAAATAGCCGAAGAAAGAATAATAAAATAACTCAGCAATTTTTAAAAGATATTTGATATTATTTGATGAAAGAAATCAGAAACCTTTTTCTCATAAGATGACTGGAGTTGTTAGTTTCTTTATTTCAGTAAAAGAAATTGGGATTGTCCCAGTATCTGTGGAGAGGAACATGTCTTGCTTCTTGAGTCTGCTAGTTTAAATTTAATAAACTAAAGGACGGGAACTAAAGTTGCTTGAAGAAAATCTCAGTTTCTCATTTGTTATTATGTAAATAAATAAATCCATTTTTTTAAAAATAATTGTGACTCAGTTGTGATTGATTAAGCGTGCGCTAAATTTAATTCTGTGAAAATAATGCACATCCTAACGAGATACTTTCTTAAAAAAATCAAATAAAAAAATTATGATAAATTTCTTTTTGTGTACAGTTATAGATTTTTTTAAAAGTTGGTATGTTTCATAATCATATCATATGATGTGCTTGTATGAACATTTTTAATAAAAATCTCATCGTCTGCTTTTTGTTGCTGAATCACTGGTGATATTTCTTTCAGAGAGGGAATAGTTTGGAGAAATAAATAAAAATGAAACGAATGAGTGCCAATGGAGATGTTTTTTTTTTTTTCTAAGTGAGTTTATTTTTTCTGGGGAAAAAGGAATTCGTAAATACATCATTCTTTTCTTTATTTTCCTGAATTTTTAATTTTTCCTTGATGTAGAATCTCATGTTGTGTGAGTGATCTATATAGGTGAGGCATGTGCCCTCTCACCTTATCCACCCTTAGAAAATCAATCACAATATTTTTCAATATTACAAATAACAAAATGGAACATTGTCATGATTTTTTTAAACCCATTAAGAGTATCTCTTGGCTTCATTATTTTTTTAGTTAAATTTACAGTTAAAAAATATTAGTATTGACATTGTGTACAGACTGTATTGTATCAGTAGTGTACTGTAGCAGCCATTTTGAATAACGCCTACACCCTGAATAAATTTTAGCAACATTATGAACTCTAAATAAACAAAGTAGTAAACTCTAAGTAACAGCCAATGAACCCTGATTAGATCATAACCCTAAGCGACAAAAAGTATGAGAAGCCATAATCATTATTGTACTTAAACTAGTTAGTTTTTCTCTGACCCTAAACTTGACTCTAAAAAGCTAACTTTAACTTCGACAAACAAGACGTAATTAAGTTGAAATAATTAAAAATTATTGTTTATGTTAGGTTTTTAGCTGGTATTCAATCGAACAGTACAAAATCTCTGAATAAGTATTATTCTCCAGTTTACTTTCTTTTTATCATTACACCTGTAAAAACACGTTGCTTTTTCTACGGATAAAATGAAATGCCGTCTAATTATTATAGAATTGCTGACTGACCACATGACAATCCCACATTACAAAAACAAAAAAATAGTCAATAACCAGTATCTCTCATTTTTAATGCAATTTTCAACTCTTAGATTAATGATTATATTTTTTAAATTAAAATTTTTTTAAATGGTTTTTTAAATTTTTCTTTATTATTTTGAAAATGACCATCAATATTTCTATTTTTTAATTTATTCTTAAAAATAAAATTAATTATTGCATAAAAGTAAATTTTTAATACACAGCAAAGAGATTGAGATTATTTTTCTCCTTCGAAATGAATTGTTAAACGAAAACCTCACTTCGGTGCACATAGGATGACGAACTTAGACTAAAATTTGGATCGATCCGTTCCCAAACAATACATGTGACATTTCTTAAACTGTTATATATTCTTGCCTTCTTTTGAAAATCTACTTTATCTCTCTACTCTACAGTCGTTTTTTTTTTCTAATTCGTCTATTTCATTTATTATGAAAAATTATTAGATTTTACCTGCATTTTTAAACTTTTTTTATACAAAAAACTAAGTGTCATCGGGTTTTTTTTTAGTCCTAAAAAAAGTATGACGTTTTCAAATACTTAGTATTTTATTTTTAAGATTATGAGTTTAAAACTCTTATTTACGAAATTTTTCAGCTGCAAAGAAAATAATTGTTAATTTCTTAACCGTTAACGGATTTTATTTTTGTTACTTTTTTTCATAAAAATGGTGTACTACTGCATCAATACAGTGTTAATTAGCATACTTTTTTATACATAGATATAGAAATTGAGACAGTGAGTCAGAAGAAAGAAGGCACTGAATTAAAAGATAATTTCTAGAAAAACATACTCTCCACTTTTTTAAACACAGCCAAATCTGGAGGATCCTTCTGCTGAACTGACAAAAATAAGTTCATTTTTGAAACACTGACCGAAAATAAAATGTCAAAATTTGAAAACGCTTTCATAACTTTACTTATTTCTTACATATTTTTTTACAATATTTTCTTAGAAGTCATGAGTAATAAAAAATTAATTTTTTTTTTTTTTTTAAATATTTATTTAATTCTTTTTCTCTCTGGGTGACTGCTATGAATTCTGAAATCATCGTTTAGGTCTGATGGATGAAGATAAAAAAATCAAATTAGTCGTGTACTGTACAATATTGTCATTTACGAAAAGCAGCTTATTTTTTGGTACAAATAGCACTCAGTGAGGATCGAACTCACTAATTACTTCTAAGATTGATGCTGACTACTACACCACAGTAAGGTTCCCTCATCTGCATAGTTTTCTTATATTGTTCATCATTACAATACATTTTTTTATCACTCTAGTGATGACGCGCTTTTTTAAAAATCTTTTGATCCGCTTTATTTTTCAAACTTAGCTCTACAGAAAAAAAAAATGAATGGATATAAGTTTATGGAAAAAATAATTTCCATAATTTATGGCTCTTGAAATTTCTGACTGCTACAACTGAAATTTACTTGAATAAAAAAAAATAAAATTAAAAAAAATATTAATAAATTGCTTCCATACAGTTCAGTCGGTTTTTTAGTCTTGTCACTTGTTTTTTTTTTTTTTGTTTTTTTCAATGTTGAAAAAAAACAAGCATGAAGAAAATTTAATTATTATTCTTTTTAAATTGTTACCTCTCGCTTTCTAAATCATGAAATTACAAAGCTTTAAAATTTAAAGTTTACCGCCTCATTTTATCTCAGTCATTGTTATAGGAAGAATTTTTTTTAAAATTATTTTCTAGCCGGTTCCTAGTTGTTACCTTAAGTTAAAATTTTCTTGCTGCTCTTTCCCACCATTACGACTACTATTACTACTACTGCGGTCCGGACACAAAATTTTCTTCCAAAGTAGCGGTAGCTCTGGTTGGATGCATTAAAATTTACATGAAAGAATGCTTCAGTTGAACAACATTAACGCCGCTAAAAAGAAAAATTTATTAAAATTTCTAAGTTTACACATTTTTTTTAAACTCGTGAACTTAGCAAGCAGCTTCATACTTAGTTTTACATTCTCTCTTCTCTCATATGTAAAAAAATAAAGAGTTGTGGGAGGGGGCTGCATCCTGGTTACAATGTCGAATCGCTTTCCGGAAACGAAGGAAGCTGCAGAATGTGTCACGAGGCTTCTAAAATGATCATAATGATGTTCTGCGAGTAATAGTCACGCCACAATACAGTACTTCCCCCGCTCCCCAAATCAACGTTTTGACTGAAGTTTATGTAATTTTAAGAATTAATTCTCACCTATAATTCAGGCATCAATTGTTTATTTCTCGTTTCAAAAATCACTTCAGTAACTTGGCTTCACACATTCCTGAAGATCAATTTTAGAACTTATAACAAAACTGGTAACAATTAATTATTAATTAAAACTTTTTTATTTTTATTTTCAAATCAAATTATTTTCTACTAAAGAATTCTTGAGTAAAGGTTTTCTTTTCTTTTTTTTTTTTTTGATAGGATATTAGAGATAATTATAGTTCTTTTATCACAACATCATTTTATTTAAAGTTGATTAAAAATGCTTTCATCTAAATAATGACAGCAGAAAGCTTTTTATTTAATTGCATGTAAAACATTACTACTTAAAATATAATTCTTAATTATGGTGCTTCATATTAATTAATATTAATTATGGACTTTCATATTAAGTAATAAAATACACACACTCAAATGAAATCAGATAATTGTTGTCACAGTAGATATTAAATTTATTTATGCACATATACAGAGAATTTCTGAAATCTATTTTTTAAAAATTACACTTCCATTAACAATTGAACTGTCTACATAACCTTTATAATTTATACTTCAGTTATTTAGAATAGATCTGAAGAACATCATTAATTACTAGATGAAACTTATATGTTGATAAATTAAAATAATGCACAACGAATTATTGCTGCAAACTTTTCAGCACATCCTCTTGTGTAGCCAAACAATAATTCCCTGGTATAAATGCTATAGTTGATCTTACTAGCCAACTTGCCCATCAACAGACCAGTAGCTTAGATCAGTGATTCCAAATATGGGGCACTTTGGCTGGAGAAGTGCACTTTGTAATATCTTTGGAGAGGTGCAGTTTCATTAAGAAGAGTGAAAAGAATTCCATGGTTGAGAACTCATATGTGTTAAGGCTTAAGTGATTAATTCTAAAAATCTTTATATATCTTTAAATATATCATTTTTAGCTGTCAAACTGGGGTCTGGAGTAAAAAAAATCTGTGTCCTACATCAACAGATATGAGTCATGTAATAATTGGAGTATAATTCCACTTTTGGTTTGGAGTAACTGATTTTAATTTGATTTTATCTAACTGAAATTCATCAAACTTCATTTCTTCTGTAAATTTATCATAAAGCATAAATTTATACCATGCAAATATCACAAATTTTTATTGATTGCAAAAAGAAAGCACATGTTCACTTACTTTTTAAGAAAATATAGTAATATCTAGTA